GTCTTGTTCAAGTACAGAGATAAAAGGGAAAAACTGGACTCGGTGTTCAAAGCAGAAGAATGGTTGAAGCGGTTTTTCGGATCGAAGGAAGAAGAACAGCAAGAAGGAGGGGGAGGCGCAGAAACCATAGAAGATGGAGACGGAGACCCAGGTGCAACGAGTGCTGAGGCCAAGGAAGCATATGACTTACGACTGAGAAAACCAAAGTAACTCTTTAAAATATTAGAAGTCCTGCAAACAGCGATGATGATGAAAGAACTCTGAACGCACGTAGAAGAAGAAGAAGAGACTATTATTACTACTATGAACTGACTAATTTCCGAATACATTGACTCAAACGAAAAGTTTTTTGTTTTAAATACTAACAGAATACTAACTGATTAGAACCCTCTCTCTTGGGGTTTTAGTTATAGTGTGGGTTTTTATTTACTGTCCTTTTTTTCGTGGGGTAACTTTCCCTTTTTTCTTTTCTGTAGTGTATAGGTGTAACAAAAAAGTAATAAAGCTACCCTGTTTCAGGGGATTAAAAAAAATAAAATAAAATAATTGTATTGATTTCCACATTTTTGACCAGTTATCTAAATTAATATTGCAACCCAGATCTTTCATCTGAGCTCTCATAAATGGTTTTGTTATTTCATCTTGCATCTCGTTATTTAACAAAAAATTATATAGCTTTTGTATCATTTTATCCGAGGAGGACAGCCAAATTTTATCTAATTCTGATTTTGTTTTGGCGAAGTTCCTTGTCTAGTCTTTGGCAAATCTTGATTTTAGTTGTACTTTTTCCCAGTTTGTAAGATTGATATTTAGTACTTGTAATGTTTCAAAAGTTTTCAGTTCATTGTCTTTAGTTAGGAGTAACATTTTGACACACACTCCAACACTTAACTGCTCCTTAAAAACAGGATTGGCAATTTCTGAATTAGTATTATGAGGGGAGAGAGGGTAAGTGATAAGTTGTCACTCAGTCTCCTGGTTCAAGGTTCATGTACAAGGTTTATGTACTAATTGAAAGCAAGAGTCTGGGTACAATCCTGTTAACTGTTCTTGCTCTTGAATGATACTTGGGTCCTTTTCAAGAGCCAAAGAAAAAATGAAACTTGTGTTGACGTTGTGTACAGGGCAAATTTGGCAGAGTCAACCATTTTAAAAACCCACTTAGAATCTACTTTTGCAGAAATTCTGTCAAAGCAAATACCATATTTTTTAAAAAATTAATTTGATAAGGGGGAAATCTCTGTAATCACTGAGTTAACGTAATACATTTCTGCTATCACACTGAAACCTGGCAAGAAAATACTTTGTTGCATTTCAAGCCTGCCCCATCACACTGGTTACTTGAAGTATATTTTAAAACCTACCTATAAAATAACAAGATAAAATTGGCTTTAAACAAATGAGTAACCAGATACCCTGTCCTTTTTATGCCTGATTGTTATTAATCAGCTGTTAATGGAAATACTAGTTGATTCTGATTCTTCCTTTCAGGTGATAAGGAAAGTCAGTATTCCATTTCCTGTATTCTTTCAGAATTGTTGGTGAAGTGAGGACACAAACTGATGTAGTCAGAGATGCATTTTGGCAATACTGCTTCAGTGTTTGGAATGCTGGATGGAAAGATTCAAAGCTGGAAATATTAGCGACAAACACCAGGTTGTGCAGTCAAAACCTTAATACTAGTGGTTTATATTTTTAACACATTTTCAGGTTGCTACACATCTTCAAAACAACAGTGCTCTAAAATACTGGTTTGGCTGCATTTCTGTTTGGTTTTTAGAAATGATGCAAGCACTAATTTTCTTTGTCAGAAGGTGGATTGTATCATTACAATGCCAAAATATTTCCATACTCACAGTTCTACTATTTGCAACACGTGAAATATTTTTATGTTGTGTTAGATTAATCTGACAATGTTGCAACGTTGAAATATTCAGCGTTCCTTTTTACCGCTTGATGTTCTGCTAAACTGGTAGCCTCTTTATGGCAGATGGGGCATTGTGATGAAGCTCCCCCTCCTTGCCACTTCATCATGACAGCTGCCTTAGCATCCCCCTTGCTTTTAGGAGTTCTGATGACTTTTGCATGCAAAAGTCTAATGGCATCTTATGGGTTACATCCGTACCCCACTAGACCCTAAAAGGAAAAGCTGAGGGTCCCAGATTTAGTTGGGGTTGGCTTGTGGTGGGGTCTTGCTGGGATCAAGTCTTCTTCTTTTTTAATATATCAGAAATTTCTAGGAAGTAGAATTGGGCCACAAGAATAAAGATTCCATTAGCTTGAGCCTCAGCATTAATTTGTGAATAATGAAGCACAACGAGGAAATGTTTAAAACCTTTGCAAGAACTATTGTTATGTAAGAACCATGAAGCATTTCCTTAAAATTAATCCAGGAAAATGTTTTCTGAAGTGTACTTTTGAACTGTCCCAAACCAACAGTGGCTGAATAACTCCTGGTCCTGTTACTCTACATTGAGGAGCAAGCTGCACATTACATGCAAATACATCTATGAAAATTCTAATCCTGCATTTAATGAAAGGTGGTCTAACAAGATTGAGCTGAAGAGGAGGGGAGGGAATGCTTTCCCTTCTGGGGTTTCCCCCCCCCTTCCTCACCCACTCCCCCTGCCCCAGTTGTGTGGAGAAAAGCAGCATGGGGAGAGGAAGCCAAAAATTGACTAGCAGGGTGAAGAGTTAAGCCCTGTGACTCATAATTGCTGGCTGCTTTTATTGTAAAGAAAGGTTGATGCTTACGTGTATTCGTGTGTATCTTTGCCGATAAGATGGCAATACCTGTGTTTACGTCACTAGATGATTCATGCAGGGAAACACTTTTCTGGTTATCTTTTAAATGACCCTTGAGTTACTGTTGTTTAAAAACTGACATATTGATGTTGCTCTATAAAAGTTCAGTTGAAAGGAATAAGGTGTGCCTGAAGTATTACCAAAGCAGAGTCTGGGCTGTACCGCTTCAGGCTGTGGTGGAGGGGAGCTTATGATAGAATGTGTCTCTATTATAAAAAAAAGTAAAATCCTGCACATAGAAAACTAGCATTTTGGACAGAAGGCTCAGATAGAACTCTTCTCCCTAATTTGTTAGTTTCTGTGCAGTTGGAATATCACATTCAGTTGCCAGAGTCTCTGTTCCCTCTAAGCTGTGGAGTCTTGTGAGCAAAAATTCTATTTTGTGAGCTACTGGCATTAAAGTTGTGAGCGAGCAATCTGGCTACTGCATAAGTTAGTTTGCTCTGGAGCCATCCTTCCTGAGCTAAGACAAAAATGTGTGAGCTGGAGGCTAAAAATTTGTGGGCTAGCTCACACTAACTCAGCTTAGAGGGAACACTGGTCAAGAGGCAGGTTGATCACTTAACTTTGGTTCCTCAGTTTTATCTGGAAAATTTGTATTTTTCCTTTTCATCAATTGATCTTCAAGGTGGCTTACTAGTATAAGGAATCTACAATAGGTATAGAGATAGCAGTAGTACAAGAAAGGTGATTGTGTACAGAGCCTGGCTACTGTCTTGTATTCTGGTGGTAGAGTGGTGAAGAGAGAAACTGGTGAATGTGATATGTGATATTAAAAACTCTTCTCACACCAGTCCGGTGCTCCTGGGGGGTCTTGCTGCTGCTGTCCATACAGGGGCCACAGGGAGCTCAGGGCAAAATAGCCACTCCAGGAATTAAGCTGCCAAACTGCACTGGTAGTGGTTGCCTCCAGGAGGCAGGACTTCGCATCCAGGTGGAAGGTGGCCCCCCAGGTTGTCTCTTGGCGGTGAAGAGAGACACTGGGGGGGGGAAGTGATCTTAAAACATTTCTCCAGGTCTCTGGTATTCCTTCCGCTCTCCTAATAGAGGCTGGGATGCTCTCAAGACATGTTGGTTGTAACAAGACCCAGTTATGAGTAAAACCAGTGTCCAACATAGTTTCAGAGGTGATGTACAAAAATTAAGAGCAGAGCTCATGTTTACATCCCTTCACCAATTTTGGACATGTCAGTTAGCTGTGGGGAATGCTTGAATACTGTAAACCACAAAAGAGGACCAAATACATGCAAAAAAATAGGCTTTTCTGGGAACATGCAAGTTCCAACTTGTTTTAAGGAATATAGTCCTCCGTAAGCTAAATAGTTCAATATAATAACAGAAAAAGCCATACTGAAAACTCACCAAGCTAGGGATCCAATCTATGTTGTGAAGGAGCAGGTTACTGCTTGCTTCTCATTTGTCTTGGAAGCGCCACCAAGTGAAATAAATTTCTTAATATTTTGAACTACCCAATACAGCAAAGGAGCAAAAGAAGCTGCCAGAAATAGTATGGATCTTCTATGGCTTTAACCCTATGACTGCCCTGTAAAAAAAATCTTATATGTATTTGAAACACCAAAAGCTGTGTTCAGAACATAAGATATTAGACACATTTCATGAATGTAAACTAAAAACATCTAAAATTAATCATTTCTAAAAAATTTGTATCTTTTATATTCTACCCAGTGAGTCTAGTTTTAGAGGGCGGCCATGTTAGTCTGCAGTAGAAGAGCTGCACTGGAGACCAACAAGATTTTGGGTTATAAGCTTTTGAGAGTCAAATCTCCCTTCATCATACACCAGGTGGTTTCTGAAGAAGGGAGCTTTGACTCTCAAGCTTATGAACCCCCAGAATCTTGCTGGTCTCTAAAGTTCTACTGGACTCAAACCTAGCTAGTCAGTGACTGTCTCTCTGTGGTGAGGTAACTATATGCTGGGAATATCTGAAAGAGTCATCAGGATGTCATGAAGGGCAATATCTCTCCAGAGTGCTTAGAAATAATTCCCTGGATCACTGTTGTCTTAATAAATTATTGGGGCATTTTTTCTACTCCAATATGTTAAAATGGGTTAAAAAGTACCCTAATGGCAAAATGCATACATTTCTGGAATGGTTTTTTGACTCCAGTTGCTGTTTTGTTTACAGAAAGCAAACTGTAAGTGGTAACTGGCTGTACTTGGGGGACACTGCCACCTGCACAGTAGTAAATAATGTCCTAGGAGGACAAGGCTGTACAGCCATTCTGCTAACAAAAGTGCAAGCAGGGTAGGAAACTCACCCCAAGCTTGGATCCAGGGGTGGCAGTTTTAGATGCAGGAATCAGCAGGTGAGGCTTTAAGGTAAACATGGTCGCTTGCTGCCAGTCAAACTGATGTAACTACCAGACGCTGGGGGACAGGAGTAAGGGCAATGCATGGCCGGAAATGCACCATCACCAGCAGCCTCAGAGCCTGGCAGATACAGTGGATGCTTCAAAGGGAGGTGGGGCTCAGGCAGCAGACTGCACCCAGGAACATGAAAGAGGAGGAAGTTGCAGTAGCTGAGCTTCTTGGGGTCTGTGCAGGTAGTCTGGCAGAGTTGCCTCTTAAAACCTTAGGGGAAAATAAGGCAGAAGAAGGGAGGGCCCAGCCAGGAATGCTATTGGCCCAGTTTCCCTTTATTCACCATGGACCAACCCCTGGAGAGAGGGCACTTGGGGAGCCTGTCCTTTATTAGGTCCTTTATTAGGCTTGCTTAAGGAAGACAGTGCCTTTTTATATTGCTTATTAGTTGTCTCATTCTGTTGATTGCATTGACTTACATTGTGTCATTTGCCTTGATTCTCAGTGAGAATGGCAGGCTATAAATATAGTAATGTTATATTTTTAATATCTATATATCTAATTCCAACAGGGGGCGGGTTGTGCGGATACTTATTTCTGCCAACAGAGGGCTCACTCTCCCCCAACAGCTTTTCCTACATAGTCAGTAGACTTCCTGTGTCTGCAGAAAAATCCAAGAAGTAAAAAAATCCCTTCAGGGAGGGTTGAATTCCCCCCAATACCTTTTGAAAGGGCCTCTGCAGGGATCTAACTCCAGGCATCAATGGTGAGAGAGAGATTAGAACGTTCGGGGCTGGGGGGGGGCTTCTAACTGGCTCTGTCAGTAAAAGGGTGGGGGAAGGGCCCTTTCCTGGCCTCTTTTGGCCTCGGAGGGAGGGAGG